GGGCTCGCCGCAGGGACGGGACGGGCACCCCGACCCCTCAGTCCCCTCTTGCAGGGCACAAAGGTGGCCGCTTTTTGGGAGCCGGAGGAACTGCGTCACTCCTGACCCGTGTGGCCACCGTCGGGGGCTGGGAGTGTTTCATTTGTCGCTCCTCTTGGCCGTGGAAAAAGCCAGCAGCAGGAGAGGGACAAATCAAATTACAAGCCAGCTAATGAAAATAATGGGGAATAAAGCACTTTTGGAGGCTGCTTGGTTGGATTCCCATTTCCGTGTGTCACTGGATTTAAATCAGTAATGTTTATAGCCCTCAAGAAGCAGTCATTTAATTGCCTTTGTGATTAGCTGCAACTCAATTGACCGTGAATTTCTTGCTCTTGCAGACCTGAGCCCTTGGCAGATGGGAGGTGGCCAGTTCGGAGCAGGGCTGCAGCTCGGCGCCTGCTCCCACCCCGTTGCTCCAGCACCCAAATCCCTCCCGGCCCTCCCGGGGGCCCAGCCCGTGCAGCTCGTCCCAGGGTGAGCGGGTGGGGGCTGCTGGGGGTGCTCCTGCCGAGCACAGAGCAAGCGGGGAATCTGCTGGGAGGGCTTTGCTCTGTTTCCACGCGATGCTCCGGCCGCTGCGAGAGCGAGCGGCTGTCAGCGCCTGCCGGGGCTAACAGCCTCCATTTGCAACTATTGACTCTGAGTAAATAATCTCCAGATATATTTTTCTCCCGATAAAGCTGATTTTTTCTATTATTGTCAGGGGTGTTTATTAGAGCAGAAAAATAATAGTGCTGTGCTTGCAGCCTGATTGCCGGGAAGTGTCGGGAGTCAGCCGAGCAGCCCCGGCAGCAGGGATCCCACGTGCACGGGGGGGTGAGGGTGCAGGGGGGGCACCAAAATCCCCCTGCCCGAGGGCCTGGTGAGGGGGGCACCGAGGGGAAATTTCCTTTCAGCAATGGCAGAGGGAGACGGTGCTCCGCGCATCCGGAGCGTCTTGGCAAAAAGGGGGGGGAATTTCCAGGGGGGTTGGGGGG